GAGAAAGGAAAGCTTAGAAAATCTGATGCTTACAAGGTAGATAAAGGGAAAGAGGGACAAAAAAAAGCAATGCATGATATTCTTAACAGGCTTAAGAAAATGGATGGCAGAACAAGATCTGGGAGAAATAAAAGGACAAAACCTATTGAGAGCTAAAAGTACAATAGGAGGAGGTGGAGAGCCATGATTGCTCATATCCTGAAAGGACATGGCAGATAAAAGAAGAATTTCTATGATAACTTTTCTCTGTTGTCAATATTTTGAAAACAAAACTGAGATGGTTTCTGAACATGTTATATATGTAAGGAAGATTATAAATTGTTCCAAGTGTGATCTTGTCATACCACTTATTTATTGTTTGTATTTGATAGATAATATAACAATAAAAATTCTAGATACCTGAACCATAAAACGTTTTTTACTGTATGACTCACAAGGACTTTGGTATATCAAATTGTTGCTGTCACTCATCACTCTTTATTTATACATCTTGACCTTTGATCTAATAGAAGTGGCAGTGAGAGTAGTTTTCATTTAACTAACCAACAAAATTTCTACTCAGTTTTCTATATGTATGCAAGGACACTTATACTTTGAATCAGAAAGAGACAGTTGAAATTCTTCAGGTATATAATGAGGAAAGAAGGCTCGTAGAACTTTATGCTCACAGGCCATATTGAAAGCAAGAAGGACAAAGAAATGTAGTGAATAACCTACCCAACGATCTTGTGTAAATGATTGGCAGAACGGAGATGAGAGAGATAGCAAAACGAACAACAATAGAGTTGCAAAAGACAGGAAGTTGTGGAGAGCCATGATCATTCATATCCCGATGGGACATGGCATTTAGAAGGAGAATGCAGGTTGTTGGCTAATTTTTATGTACCTCAAGGTACACAAAAATAAAAAGCAATGATTTGTCTTCTCACCAGACTTATTCAACATTTGCAGTGAGCTGTAGACCCAACAAAGATTTATTATCAATAGCCCCAATTTTTAAAATATAATATCCACAGATGACACTTTATTGATGACACAGAAAAGGAATACTATAGGACATTCTAGTCTAGGTAGTAAAATAAAAAAGAAGAATCGATTAACCATCAATTACAAGAAGGGAGAATGTATTGTTGTCAGAAAGAGTAAAAGCCCAAGATTTGAACTACAAATTGGAGATGTCCAAATCAAACAATTACAGAAATTTGAATACCTGGGAAGTGTTTTAACGGAGGATGGAAAATGTGACACTGAAATCGGAATGTTCATTGGAATAACAAATGATACATTCTAAAAATAGCAATTGGAGGAGACAGAATGCATGGTTGTCAGAAAGAGAAAAATCCCAAGATTTGAACTACAAAATGGAAATGTCAAAAACAAACAAGTACAGAAGTTTAAATATATTGGGAAGTGTTTGAATGGAAGATGGAAAATGTGACACTGAAATCTTGAAGGTGCATTGTAATAGTAAAAGCAAAGTATGAAGAAATAAGAAAATTTTGTGAGAAACAAGGAATAGTTTTGAACTGCTATGTGATATCAATCCTCTTCTGTGATAGTGAATGCTGAACAATTTTCTCACAGATGAGAAAATTTGAGGCAACAGAAATATGGTTCTACTGATAAATGCTGAGAATATCATAGAAAGAGCATATAAGCAATGAGGAAGTTTTAAGGGAATATGTAAACAAGGACAATTCTTTTTAGAATCAGAAAGAGACAGTGGGCATTTTTTGGATGCATAATGTGACACTCGCTAGATATACTGAAGGACAGTGGAAGGCAACAGGACACCTAACTGATGAACGGAACAGGAGGGATGGTAAAAACATTACTAAGAGCTTCATGAGATAGAAAATTCTAAAGGTACATGATTATCTACGTCCTGAAGGAATATGGCCAGTAGAAGAACCAACAGAATACAAGAGATAACTTTTCCTGATTGTTACTCAAAGCAATAATCAAAAAACTTAAGTTAGGTTCTTAAATAGATTTGTCAGATCGAGACTTTCATACAGATGTCATGCATGGCACAAAAACCCATTCAGAAATATCTAAATTGTTAGCTGTATACAACTGCTTTCTAAAATCAATTCTGAAAAACAGCTTTGAGTGAGCAAAGCCTATGGATCTTGGTGAGGACCACACTTCTTCTGGACTGGTGCTACAGAATCACAAACTGTTCCAAAACCTAACAAAATGTATCCTTTGAGGACTTAGCAACAGTTAAAATGGATACTATGTTTAACTTAAAGAGAAGATTCACAATACTTCAAAGGAAAGGTAAGGAAAGATGCCTCCACCACCACCACCAATACTGGAAAGAGCTACTGGACTTGAGAAACCTACTTTCCTGAAAAATGTTTTAAGAGAAAGATTTTATAAATTTCAACTGACAGTATTACTGGCTGCTCAGTCAATGAATGCCAAATGTTTCCTTATAAGGAAACAGCTAATATTACCATTATTATCAAATATTTTTGTTGGCTCTTGTTGAGAATGTCTGGTAAAAATTGAAAAACTTCCTACTTCTTAGATTGTCTCATTTAAATAAAGAACGATGTCAAACCTTGGGTCTTTATTTATCCTGCTAGGATATTTCCTCTAAGATAATTTGAATTTTGATTCTTCCATTCAATTCAGATGGACTGGTAATAAATGTAAAGCAATGTCCCTCTATCCAAATTACTCTCTTAATAAGATATTTTTGTCACTTTTGAATTCTGAAGTCCAATAGAAGCTGATTCCTGACGTCAGTGATTGAACAAAGATCTTTTTAAATCTGTATCCTGCTGAGAAACTAATATCATCTCTACTATTCCATGATTTTAACTTCTAAATCTTTAATTAATTTTGGTGAATAAAATTGATTTGATATGAAATTTCTCTCTTGATAAATTGAGTAAACATGAATTTACTTTCAATAATTATGATATGATGTAAAAATGTTTCTGTGACATTAAATTTAAAATCTTTCTTGTGTGTGTATATATATATATATATATATATATATATATATATACACTAGCAGTAGAGCCCGGCGTTGCCTGGCAATGTAACAGTAAGAGATAGATCAAGTATCGACCATCATAAAGACTGAAAAATAAAATTGACAAAGATTATTGTTTAAGGTTGACGGACACACATGTCTTAATTATTTTTTTTTTTTTTTTTTACAAATTGGTCAAACCCAAACTCAAACAAAAACATTGTTTTCAATCGTTATGAGTCTACCAATTGAATAGAATTTTATTATAAACAATTGTCTTGTAAATGGAATTTTTAAAGCATTCTGAATGTAAAAATAAAGAAAAAAGTGTGCAAGACAATAAGAAACACTACCTGCCAAAAAAAAGTGAAGTTTTGTTGAAATCGGTTGAAAAATGTAGGAAATCTGATCCCATATATAAATGAACACACACACACAACCTGGGTTTTATAATAAGTATGATATATAATGTTGGTGTGTATATGCATGTGTGTCTGTCTTGAAGTTTGTCATTTGAGCTGCTAAGTATTTTTTTTTCTTTAAGTTGAAACTTATTTCATTATAAGTTAAATATACTGTAATGTATGTTTAATCCATTAATGTCTACTGTTCTACTTTTAAGATAGAATTAATGGATTACAGGTATAAATCTATAATACCATTTTCTTGTATATGGAAACTTACAATTAATATTGTTACCTTTTTGTTAAGCTTTAGAATTAATTCAGAATTTTATAATGGATATTAATGTGTTAAGTAATACTGGGAACTGTTTATTTTCCATTTTTTTTTTTGTTTGGGTCAAGTCAGGCTTAGACCTGCTACTGGCAACATGTAACCCAATATCACCTGTCACATGGACATGGTGGTTGGTGTTTAAAACAACTCTGGTGAGCTGAGTGGCCACAGGATGAAAAACAAGACTTATCAAAGGATAGATAGCTTCTTATAAAAGCTAGTGGCCTCACACACACACACACATCCCAATTGGTAGGGATAATTCCAAGGAAGATATTAATCCAAAGAACTCAATGTAAGTAACAGAGCAATATAATAAGTCAAGATAATCCTTAAAAATCCATCTTGGTTATAATTTATTTCATGAATATATTTAAATATTCATCTCTCTTATCTAGAGATAAATATTTAAATATATTCATGAAATAAATTATAACTGAGATGGTTTTTAAAGGATTTTCTTGACATATATTTATGAGAGAGAGAGACTAGGATGAAGTCTCAAGCCTTGAATGGCAACTTTCCCAGAGATGGTATCTCAATAAAAATACAAGATGTACTTGGAATATCATGAGTTGGGTGTCAATGAAGAGTATCTAGCCTTGCGAAACCTTGCCTGAAATCATGGCACATCCTGTCAGGCAGGACCCACCTTGAGTGAGGTTAATCTCAGTTCCCCCTCAACAACAAATTTTGTTGTGTATGCACATAATAGATTTATTTACATTTGGACTGATGTCCTCAATCTTCAGGTATCTGTTGATCTGGATAACCTTCCAGAAATTTCAAACTGAACCCTTTATTTAATCAAAGGGGATTTTTCCTTTTTTCTGTTAGCCCAAGAAGGCACAACAGGTCACTGTCCTGGAGGTTAGCATCAGCCATGCTGATGGAAAGCAGAGAGCAGTCTTGCAGATGATTAATGGAAAGTAGTTTAGTTTTTTTAGTTTTAGACCTTTTATCCCAGTTAACAACTGACTTGAGGCTGTTTTGGACATAGGCTGTCATTTTGACCTTGTTTTGGTGTTTTTTGAGAAATATATTTTGTTTTTTTTATAAGTAACTCCAAAAGATATAGTACAGAAATACACCTATTTGATTCACACAATATATTGTATAACTAAATAAATTATTTTACATATTAACTTTCTATAACTTGCATCAATCTTTCATTAATTGATTTTATTAACATTTTTTGTTTAAAATTTGTTGTATTCTTTCTCTTCAGAGGGTATTAATACCACTTGATACATTTTCAACAAAATTATACAAAATGAATGCAAAATGTAAGACAGGCCAAAATTTGATGAAATATTTATTTGATAGGAATAAAATAACAAAAGGTTTGATTGTAGAATGGTATGCCTTTCATCTAGAGGTAGTCAACATGTCTACATTTGGAAACAAGGAAAGTATTATATAGCCAGCTGAAGGAAGTGCTTTCAGTGAAGGAAAAGAAAAGAGTTTCTTTGCCAGTATGGTTTTATCGGCACTGATCAGTTGCTACTGCTGCTCTTACTGCTGTATTTTTTCTACAGCCAATGATCTGTGTCACAGAGCCTAAGTTTCTATAGTGTTTTAGTTTTCTCCTTTTTGCCTCTTTTTCCTATTTCCTTTTCACTTTTGCTCTTTTTTCCTTTTGCTCTTTTTTCCTTTTGCTCTTTTTTCCTTTTGCTCTTTTTCCTTTTGCTCTTTTTCTTTTTACCTTTTTTCCTTTTACCTTTTTTCCTTTTTCCTTTTTCTTCCTTTTTCGTTTTTCTTCCTTTTCGTTTTTTTCCTTTTTCCTTTTTCTTCCTTTTTCCTTTTCTTTTTCCTTTTCTTTTTTTTTTTTTTCTTTTTTTTTTTTCATTTTTCCTTTTCATTTTTCCTTTTTTCCTTTCTTTCCTTTTTCCTTTCTTTCCTTTTTCCTTTCTTTCCTTTTTCCTTTCTTTCCTTTTTCCTTTCTTTCTTTTTTTCCTTTCTTTCCTTTTCCTTTTTCTTTCCTTTTTCCTTTTTTCCTTTTCCTTTTCTTTTCCTTTTTTCCTTTTTTCCTTTCCTTTTCCTTTTTTTTCCTTTCTTTTCCTTTTTCCTCTTTTTTCCTCTATTTTTTTCTATTTTTTTCTCTTTTTCTCTTCTTTTTGTCCTTTTTTTTCTCTTCTTTTGTCCTTTTTTTCTCTTCTTTTGTCCTTTTTTTTCTCTTCTTTTGTCCTTTTTTTCTCTTCTTTTGTCCTTTTTTTCTCTTCTTTTGTCCTTTTTTTCTCTTCTTTTGTCCTTTTTTTTCTCTTCTTTTGTCCTTTTTTTCTCTTCTTTTGTCCTTTTTTACTAGTATTTGAAGTAATTAAAATAAATGTGGGTGAATATGATCTATAAATTTTTATACATCAAAACAAAGGCAAATGAATGACTGGGTAAAATTCTGTGTAATGCATTTTGTCCTTTAGAAGAATTTCATTGGACTAAAGTAATGTTTTTGTTGATGGATTTATATTTGTAGGAGTGGGAGATATAAAAACACTGTCAGTTACAATTATATACTGAGAAGAGAGACTGAAATAGAAAATTTTTTAACTTCATTTTTTTTTTCTTTAAACACACAGTTTAACCAATCTCATTCAATTATTTTTTTTATTTATATTGCTTTTGTTTTTTAAGTGTCCCATATTGTGATAATAGAAGATCTACCAAGAATGGTGTAATGTTGTACAAACCTGAATGCAAATTTATTGTGGTTGATCTAGCAATCAATGCACTTCCTATTTTATACATTTTTGTCTTAGTAAATGATATGTCCTGGAAAGGGATATATTTGATCAAAGTAGCTAAGTGGTTTTGGCTACTGTAACCAAGTAGTACACGGTAGCAGTAATCAACTGGTACTCATTGTAGTTGCAGGTAATAGGTGTAGGCCAATAGGATAGCCAATGGTGTAGTCCAATGGACGTCATCATAGACTTCAACTCTGTCATGCCTACATGTCCGTCTGTATTTATGACGGGCACCAGCCAATCATATTCCAGTGAACTCTGGTGTATGCATATTCCATTATATCAGTAAATTACTTATTGTTTTAATTAAAGTTCCATGGTCAAATTCATTATGGTGAGGAACTAAAACATTGAGTGTATTGTTTTGTGTTCCTATAATCTTTTATTTAAATTCTTTGAGGTTTCTCCTATGTATTGTATAATCCAGGTTTAGAGTAAATTTCCTGCTTCAAGTTTTCAGATATTATTATAATAGAATATGAAAATATATTCATCCTTATGTAATACTGAGGCCTACAAATTCTGTGTATACTTAAATAGAATCCAATAATTATTTCAGATTTGAGTCATTATGGTGAGAATAGAAATTTTATTTATATATATATATATATATATATATATATATATATATATATATATATATAATTTCAGATAGAATATATCTGTAAAAAGGATAATATGAACAAAGACAAAAGGAAAATTTAGCTGAAGTGTTTCTTCCTCTGAGAAACTTTTTCAAGACAAATTTGCCTTGATAAAATCCCTCAGAGTAAAAAAAATTGTCAGCTAAGATAAGTTTTCCTTTTTGGAAACAATTGGACTTTCTGACTTCTCCCATGGATGGTGAATTTCATAATTGCAAACATACACCAGGAAATCAACACTTGTTTTAAAAACAAAATTGAAATTTATTTTCAGTTTTTAGTGAGATGGTGTGTCGGGTGAATTTTTTTTTTTTTTTTTTCTAAAAAGAAAAAAAGGTGTTGATTTCCTATTGTATTTGCCATTATCAAATTCATCAATCTTGGGAGGAGTCAGATGATACGTTTTCATAAAGCGCTTTCTCTCTCTCATATGTTCATAAATCCATGTCTAATGGTTTGTTCATTTGAGAGCCTTAATGAAGAAAATGCAGTTAAGGTTTTTGTTCTTATAATTTTCTTCTTTTTGAAAAATTAAAATCCAAATTCTTAAATAATTATATTGGATATACTATAACATAGCTAACAAGAAGACTCGCATTACAGCTCTCTGACCATAGCTCAGTTAGGTCTCATTTAAATACCCATGATGACTTACCAAACTCAACCTGCAATATACTTGTTGATAAGACAAATATAACGGGAATGAGCTAGGGAAAAAATATTTATTCTCCCATTTACATTTCCCCCATTATGGGCATTATTATATCAGAGATAACACCATCCATGAACAGAATGTTCATGGACAGTGTTATCTCTGATATAATAATGAAAGAATAGATTGGTGGAGGGGGGAGGACAAGCTAAAAAAAGTAACCTTTTGGTTTCAATGCTGTATAATGAACTGAATTTGACTGCCACTGTTGTTACTGTATTGAGTGATGTCACTAAGCAGTCTGTCACATGACCCATGTGGCTTATTTTCACCAGAGGGAGAAAAGCGCCTGTATTCCTACACAAATATGATAGTCTCATCCACATATAAAAATGCAAAAGACTAATGGAAACATTATTAGTAAAAAAAGAAAAAAGCCAACACTCTGTAATATCAACTATGAACATGGCCATAATGTGCTGACTGTGTTTAGAAAATAAAATATTCCTATAACTCTATATACATAAATGTTGTAATGGAATGTCCTACACTCCCTATTGCCTATGTGGACTATATCAGTAGCTATATATAGTGAACACAGGATATACCTGGAGGCTTACTTCGGGAATTAATAGCCAGCCACCTGAATCCCTGTCTTTCAGTAGTGTATTCTCTTTTACAATAAACCTCTCTTCTTTCATTTATGTGTGTGTTGCTGTTCCTTCACTTGAGTACCACCTTTGTCTGTTTGTAACCACTTTAAGGATACAACAATAAAGCATCCATACATTCAATTAGAAGTAAAAATAAAATTATCCTTAATGGCTAAAAGTATGGCCAAAAGCACTTGGGCATACAGAACATTCAGATAATTTCTACATAATTTATGTCCATAAAGGAAGTTATAAGAACAAAAATTAAATAAAAAAACTTAACCCCCATTAGCGTCTCAGTTGTTTTTAATGAAACTTGTATAAAAGAGAGATTGCTGCCCAAATACACAATTACATGAAGTACATATAGATTGTCTTCTGGTATATGTCATGTATTATGTATATATAGATGTTATGTACATAAATATGTATATAAAAAGTATTTGAAACATTTATGAATTTGTCACAAATATGGGCAACAGTTAATTTTCTCATTGCTTATTGACAATAGAACAGTATTGAATTTTCATGAATTTAATTTATAAGTTTTGATTAAATGATACAGAAAAATATTATTTTTCATGTATTTACTCAGTAGTTGATACACACATTCGAAATAATAGATTTGCGCTGGAGTTGACTTTGTAGGCTATAATGATTCATCTCGTAAATAGAAAAAAAACAACAGAAATAGCATCAGAAATATTAATAAAATTTGAACTTTTGCAAATTCCAATTATGAAATGTATTTAATTGCATCTTGAAAACTTGAATGGCTAATGTTGAGATTTTTTTTTAAAGTTGTTTGTAATCTTTCAAGAATTAAAATGTTAATTTTTAATTTTGCACTATTATTAGATTTTCGATAAGAATTACTTAAAAGTCTCAGTTAAAAGATTCATTATTTAAACTTTTTTTAATTTTAATATCCTGATTTACTGCTAAGACAAAAATGAAACTACAATTACTACTGAAGAAGGTACTTAAGGAAAGCAAGAAGAAAGGACTAAATATCAATTGCAAGCTGACAAAATGAATGGTTGTCAGCAAAAGAAACAGCCCAACATGCAAATTAGAAATTGGTGATATTAAAATCAAACAAGTACAACAATTTAAATATTGGGAAAGTATTTTAACAGAAGACAGAAAGTGCGACACCAAAATCCAAAGATGTGTTGGGACAGTGAAAGAGGCTTTCTGAAAGCTAAGCAAAGTATTATAAAGTATGAAAACTCCATTAAAAACTAAGAAAAGAGTACCGAACTGTTATGTAATATTACTTCTCCTATATGACAGTGAATGATAAACAGTCTCCTCAAAGATGAAGAAGAGACTTGAAGTGATAGAAATGTGGTCCTACAGGAGGATGCTGAGAATACCATGGACTGAACATGTACACTTAACATCAAAAATAGATAATTAAAATTTCTAGGGTATATAATAAGGAAAGAGGCCTTCAAAAATTTGATACTCACAAGACATTGAAGGCAAGAGAAACGGGGGAAAACAGTGTGTAACTATTTAGCAAGCTTGAATAAATGGATGGTAGAACAAGTTTTTAGGAGAGAATAAAAAGACAAAATTTATTAAGAGCTATAAAAGACGGGAAATTATGGAGAGCCATGATCACCAATGTCCTAAACTGGCACAGCACATAGAAGAAAAAGAATAACTTTCTCTCATATTTAAAAAATAAATGCAGATTTTATGTAGAGAAGAAATCTCAGTTGCTTGAGATTTTTGAATTGTCATTGGCATAGTGGCAGAAATTAAGAGATTATCAAATGTGATGGCAAAGGAAGGCTGATATGTAATGATCAAAATATAGCACTACTTAAATAAACTGGTCCATTCAGAAAATTTAGACCTTCCTTAGGCTGTGACACTTGTCAGAATTGAAAAATATTGATTTTTTTTTTGTCTTTATCATCTGTTTATAATATCAATACAGTGTCAAATCAGTACCTTTTACAGAACTATTGGACTAAGTTGTTGTGAATACAAAAACAGACTTTTTTTGATGGAAGCAGCTATAATCCTTTGAATAAGCATGATTGGCTCATTTCAATAGAATTGTTTTTAAAAGTAAATTGTAAACTTAGTGTTGTATTATGTTGTTCTGACACATGATCAGTAGTCAACTTCTCCAATTATTTGGGGTATGCCATAACAAAAATTTTCATTATAGCTTCACAACTTGCTAAAGCTAGAAAGAGGTCAGTTATTTCATTTTCTCTCCCTTTTGTTTGGTTATCTTTGAATTTCTCAGCTGTAGCCTGGGCTGCAAAACACCAGATCCAAGTCTCGACAAATTCTGCTTCATCCAAGTGACTTAAACATCCTCTCAGCAATGCCATACTTAGAAAGAAAGCTGTTTGAGATCAGTCATTTTGAATTGTTCCTTAAACTTTTTTTACATTGCTTAATGCAGTATTATGATTTTTAGCAATGAGAATGCCATACACCTATATGATTACAATTACTATTCAAAATATTTTTGTATAAATACAAGAGTCTGCTACAGAATGATGAAACAGTGGCCAGTAAAATATGTACAATATTTCAATATCACCCACTTTGTTGAAGTCCATATAATAATTTTTTTTTTTAATTGGCATAA